TGCCTGCTGTCTGAGCTGCCTGCCCTCTTTGTGCGCCTAACACTTTGGATGTTTTCCCCACTTCCTCTCTACTTAGTCAGTTTGTTCTTGCATTTTCTTACTTTTTTCCCATTTTCCTCTGCACAAAGATACCTTCTCTGCTTTTAAAGTAATTAAAATAGCAGAGGCAATTGAAATCTGGGTGAAATAATTCTCTGAGCACTATGCTTTCCAATGGATGAATTACTCAATGCATATTAGCCAACCTTCAGTAGACCTCACTGAATGACAGAAATGGTATTTGATGAATATATTCAATAACAATAGCATTATTCAAACACTTTACTCCATAAACTACATTCAGCACACTCAGAAGTTAATGGTGCATTCAGGTTGCTCTGTTTACTCCACAGAGCACGTGTGCAGCCTTAGGGGGAAAAACCAAGTTGCTGATACAACCTGATCTAGTTGAAGATATCCCTGCTCATTACAGGGGGGTTGGACTAGATGACCTTTAAAGGTCCCTTCCAAACCAAACTATTCTATGATTCTATGATACGCCTGAGGGAAACAGGGGATGTGGAGGCTCTTCTGGTCCGTTGTGTCTCTAGTGAGCAGGACAAAGTGTGTGTGTGTTGTTGTTGTTGGGTGTTTCCGTCACATCTAGGGAATAAATGATGTATGTGAGGAGGAAGAGAGATTACCTGCTCCATTTCTTGACTGGTAGTAGAAGACCAGGCACTTGTTTTCATGCTCATCCCTAGTACTTCAGCTAGAAATGAGTACAACAAAATCAACATATCTCTAATCTTCAGCTTTTGTCCAAGTTGGGGTGTGCGTGTGTGTATGTGTATGGAGCAGGCGGTTGAAGTAAATCTAACTTCAAATCCCTGCTCTTCACTTCTTGCTCCATTCAACTTTTTCTTAAGAGCTTGGAGCAAATAATCTTTCTTTTACTGTTTAAGACTCTCTAGTGTCTTCTTTGTAATTTCCAATAGACGCTAAGTCTTTTTGTGGTCTTTATGTCCACAGTGCCAAATAGATCCTCCTTTGACCCTTTTGTTACTTTTTTAAACCTTTGAGTCATTTCGTTCTTAGCCTCAACGTTGGACATTACCTTGACGCAAACTGATGTCATCAACATTTTCCACAATCTACTCAATTTATTTAGCCAGCTTCCCTTCTTGACTCCCTTTGATTCATTCTGTACAAAATGAACCTCCTCTGAATGCTAAGGTTGAAATCTCTCTTTGGCTACAAGGGTTTGGATCACATTTTTTCCTCTCTTGTCCTTACATTAGTCAGAATATAATTTTGCTGAAGTGTCTTACCCTGACACTACTCTTGGCATCTGCTTCCATGTGTACTGCCACTTCTAGAAGCGTTACAAAACCTCATACCTCTGTCATCTTTTTCCTCCTGCTCAATTGTGTGCTTACTTGAAGATTTCTCTTTTTTTGTTGTCTGAATCCTCACCTTGCCCTGAATTTCATACAGCCCATATAATGTCTTTGTCTTCTCTAGCCTCAGGTAACTTAACCTCTCATCAGTCTGTGCCTGTGCTGTCCCATGAAGTCAATTTTATCTTGTTCACCTGTTGAGTAACTCCTTATGTTTGAAGTCCATTTTATTTTTTCCATTCTGTATGTTCTTTGCAATGCTTCAGTGAATTAATTGTATTTTCAAAGGATACAAAAGCATCAGTTAACATCCACAATCTTCTGTAGCAACAGCAGTACGTAAAGCAAACATAACCTTTTAAAGGCACATTTGCAGCTCCTTTGAACAGAGGAGCTGTGCTGGTTAGAACCCAAACAATACCACAAAACAGGGTCTGTGGCCCTTTAGGCTTGTGGCTGAAGGTTGTCCTATACAACCATTTCTCAACATCAAGTGAAGGCTGCAAGTGGAAAATATAACCAAAACTCTGCAGACTTCTGGCTGCAGAAGCACCGCTAGCCACAAGACCTGCCCTGCGGTTCTTTAATAAATTTCAGTTTCTCACCAACAGAGTGCATAGACCAGGAACCATCTTCATTTCTGTAAAATCCCTGCTGCCTCACTACCAGACATACAGGTACAAGAATGCATTGCTGTCTTTCAAACTAGATTTGTGGGAATTTCATCCATCCTGTCTTCTGGGTGGCTGGAATTTGCCCATTGCTCAGGATCTGCTAGAGATTTTAGTCAACTCCTTGATCCCCATTTTCTTTGGGCAGGACTTTCTTTTCCCCTTCACATCCTTCTTCTCAATGTGGGATTGGCAAAAGAAGGTATAAAGTTGTTCTTTTCTAATTGTTCTTGCTGCTCGGGTAAGGAAGTAGCAGCTCAGCTTTGGGGAAAGAGAACTCAAGGTAAATTTTTCAATCTGTATTTAGGTATCTCCATGGCCTGATTTCTACCAGTGATGGTTCCCACTGATTTTTGTGCCTTACTGGTGACCCAACATATCTTTCCTTTCTGTCCTGACTTGTTCAGCTGGAGGCTCAGAATCACTGTAACTCCAGTCATGGATTGATAGGTGACATTAGGCTTTTTTACATTGGAAAGGGATGGTGCAGTTCTTACAGCCATTAGCAAAAGCCCACTCACAGCCATAGTCATTTTCCATGGAATAACAAAATTCAGTCTTCCCTTCTGTAGTGCTTGTGTTCATCTTAAAATCCTAGGAAAGGCCTTTTGAGGTTTTCCTTCAAATCTCCTCCTGAATTTGAATGCAATATCAAGCTCATCCACAAGATGTGTTCATATATGCTAATATTCATGCTCGCTCATGTGAATGTTTTGTTTCCTTGCCTGTGCTTTATTACACAGTAGTGTCTTCATGCTTTGCTATTCAGCTCCTTTGAGACTGATGTATTGACTGTGTATTACCTATCTAGAAAGCATCAAAGCCCTAGTGCTGATGTCTTGAAGAGCTCGATTTAAACTTCTGCTTGAGCTCTAATTGCAGACATGGAGGACAGAAATAGCTCTTTAATGACAAAATTACCACTCTGCCAAACATATTTAAAAGCATATAAGCACGTCTGGTAGGATATAAGCCAACTGATATTCCTGATATTCTTTTTTTACCTGCAGCATAAAGGAGTAGCTTGGTAAACATTCTTCATGAGAACATCTTTTTTCAACATTCTTCCCAGTATAAATCAGCAATTTATTAATTTCTGCAGCTGTCCCTCAGCTCCTCAGGTAAGTCACCAGCTCTAATGGTAGCAATGTAGGAATACCCAAATAGGCAAATAACCTTGTTTTCCAGCAGAGGTCTGGTGTCGTGGTTTAACCCCAGCCAGCAACTAAGCACCACGCAGCCGCTCACTCACTCCCCCCCCATCCAGTGGGATGGGGGAGAAAATCAGGAAAAGAAGCAAAACTCCTGGGTTGAGATAAGAACGATTTAATAGAACAGAAAAGAAGAAACTAATAATGATAATGATAACACTAATAAAATGACAACAGTAGTAATAAAAGGATTGAAATATACAAATGATGCGCAGGGCAATTGCTCACCACCCACCGACCGACACCCAGCCAGTCCCCGAGCGGCGATTCCCTGCCCCCCACTTCCCAGTGCCTAAACTGGATGTGACGTCACATGGTATGGAATACACTGTTGGCCAGTTTGGGTTAGGTGCCCTGGCTGGGCATGAGAAGCTGAAAAATCCTTGACTATAGTCTAAACACTACTGAGCAGCAAACTGAAAACATCAGTGTTATCAACATTCTTCACATACTGAACTCGAAACATAGCACTGTACCAGCTACTAGGAAGACAGTTAACTCTATCCCACCTGAAACCAGGACATCTGGCCATAGGCAGAGGTCATGATGGGCTGCAGAATCAAGGGACAGCAAAAGAAGTGCTGAGCTTTCCATCAGTGTTGAGCTTTGTGATGCTGTGGCCTGATTACTACTCGTACTCAGACTTGCCAGTTGATGAACTTGCTCATACATCACCACTAACTGCAGCTGCGGCAGCAGGATTTGCACGTTTGCATGTGCCACGGCAGCCACAAAGGGGTACATTTTCTCTCCTGCTAGGCAGAGCTTGCAGGAGCAGTAGATGGGATGAGGACATTAAAAGAACACACAGATCTGTAAACTTCTCAGATTTCCCACCTCATGTCTCCCAGCCATTCTGTGTCCTGGGAATATATCTGCTTTTTGGTCTAACAAAACAAAGCAGCTTGGTATCCTCCAAGATCTGTGCAAACCTCAGAGGTGGGGCCAGATGGGAAGGTGACTGTATGCTCTTGGTGGTTATCTCAGGTCTTCTTTTGACACTGAGGAGAGTCTGGCCGCCCATGGCTTCTGAGGCAGCTCCTCCAAAAGAAGTGTTCCAGGGTTAGGACAGGGGAAGACTTGTGCAGAAAAGAAATTATAAAATAAAAACATTTTTGGAGTAAAGTTTAGTGCATTTCTTAAATGATAAGAAATACAACAAACAAAATCCAATTAAACAGGACAGGATTTAAAATATTGCACAAGTTTACTGAGAAGTTAGACCACAGACAAAAAGAAAACAATTTGCATTTTGGTAGTCAACTTATTATGTATGGGACACATGGCTCCTATACATACATTTGAAAGTGAAATCTGATTTGACTGTGCTTAGTATTTGCATAACTGACAGGGCTAAGTTGAGTGTACCTCAGTGGCAGAGTGCTAGCCTGAACTTGCCAGAGAAAGATCTACCCGACGCTCAGGAGACCCTCAGGAAGAACAGCCACATTTACTTGCAGAGGACAGCTTAACAGAATGATTAGGCATCAGCCTAACTGACAAAATCTATTTTAACAGAAATAAATTTTGCGTAATAGCCTCAGAAGATACAAATTACCGGAACTAAGTTTGTTGTTGTTGTTGTTTTCCTTTTCAAATGCTTAATAATTTTAAATTGCTTCAGCTACTGGTTATATTTCACCTTGAATGAACATCTCATTTTTTTCACCCAAGAGGAAGATTCTCTCTGATCTTGTGTTTCTTTGATACAGTATTTCTTTCTTTCCTTCAGGAGAAAAATGAGCTGGGGATTCCTACGTGATCTGCTGAGTGGAGTGAATAAATATTCAATAGGAATTGGAAGAATTTGGGTAGCAGTTGTGTTCATATTCCGCTTACTGGTTTATATTGTGGCCACAGAAAACATCTGGAAATATGAACATGATGAATTTGAATGCAATATCAAGCAGCCTGGTTGTGAAAATGTCTGCTTTGACCATTTTTTCCCTGTCTCCCACATCAGTCTTTGGGCTTTGCAATTAATCATGGTCTCCACCCCTTCACTCTTGGTTGTTTTTCACGTTGCTTACCGAGAGAAGAGAGAGAAACACCACAACCAGAAACTTTATAAAAGTCCAGGAGAGATAGATGGTGGATTGCTGTGCACTTACCTTATCAGCCTTATTTTAAAAATGGGATTAGAAATAGTTTTTCTTGTTCTGTTTTATAAATTGTATAATGGATTCAAAGTACCACGTCTTGTGAAATGTGACATAAGACCATGTCCCAATACTGTAGACTGCTTTATTTCCAAACCCACAGAGAAGATGATTTTCCTATATTTTCTGGTGGCAACTTCATGCCTATGCATTGTATTAAATCTAAGTGAATTGAGTTATCTCATTTTCAAATACTCCATAAAATGTTATCCGAAGAGGTACATCAAGAAATGTCAAGGCTCAAAAAGTGATTGCCACAAATCAGGAATCATGGGTCACAACAGACCAGCAGCTGCAGGACGGTTCCACAACAGCTGCCCATCCTTGCCTCTGCATATACAAGACAAACGTGAAAAAAGTTCCCTGTTGACTTAAAAGAAGGCTACAGACCACCTTCCCGTTACACAAGCTGTATTTGATGAATTGCTTTTCCAATCAGTGCTTTACAGAACTGAAAGGATAGTTATGTAGGAAATACTTTTTCTCTATTAGTTCCCCCTTACTTGAGTGGATAAATTCAGTTGCATTATGTATGTCATACAGAGAATCATCTAGATCTTTTCAGGTTGCAACGAGGTGTATAAGTCTGAAAATTCCATGAAGTTTTAATATAAACACAGACACGATAAATCATGCTGAAACAATTGCTCAAACAGTTGTGTTTTGAATATTACACAGAATTGCTTTGGTACGAGCAAAAAAAGAGGCTTTTTATATGCAGAGTTGGAAGAACCTGGGATTGATTAAGACACAGAATGGTAAGGGGATGTACAGCATCTGTCAGATGAGTGGATATGGTAACTGTTGAAACAGCAATCAGGAAGCGCTGGCATACAGTGGCTGCTGGTGTCTTGAAGTGAGCTGGACGGTCACAAGCCCATTCCACTGGCCTACTGTAAAACATCTCAAAAAAAAAAAAAAAAAAAAAGAGGTAGACATACCTAGTTTGGCCCATGGTGGTAAAGATGGACCTGGTTATTTAGCTATTTGTGGAGCACCTCCTTCTGGAGGTATTTGAGCCCTTTACAGTTTTTAGGGTATTTATCATCAGAACACATCCTGTAAGAAAAGGTACTTGGCTCAAACTTGTGCAGGCAGCACATACCAGAGTACAGAGTTAACTCCTGGTCGGCACCAAGCAGGTCCTGAGTCATTAGACTTTTCTTCTGCTCTGTGGCTGTGGCATTTAAGGGAAAAGATCATTCCCAGTTCCCCAGGATCTGAGAGGAACGTAGACCGCACAATATGGCAATTGTAGTAGCCAGTAGTCCTAGTATTCAGTAGCCTGGAATCCGGTCCCTTTAGTAAGGCTGAGAATACTGCTGCTCCTTTAGTAGATTTCTCTGCCACAGAAGAACATGTAAAATCTAGAAATACAAAAAGCTTCTCATAGAAACAAAGATCACCTATTCCCTCCCCCCAAATTTCAGAAGTATTACTTAAACACCACACACCTCTGCTCTTTGTTATGTGTGTTGCTTGGGCTAACAGGAAAGGGACAGAAATTAGTCAAGACATGTCTTCTGTTGAACCTAGACTTCTGAGACAATAGAAATTGGAGCCTAAAAAGACTTACTTCAGGGTAGTGTTCTCTTTCCATTGCTGGGATGAAAGAACTTAGGACATGTATCAGTACTGAGCCTGATCAAAATACACCCTTTAAGGAAAAACACGACCTGCAATAAGTGGAGCTGCCTGAGTGCTGAACCAATTTTTTTGTTCATACCAGGATAAAGAGGAGAAAACAGTAGCAAAAGCACGTTACTATTACTGCTGCCTGAATATTCAACCAATGTTATTGCTTGTGCTAGGATAAAGAAGAGGAAACAGTAGCAAAAGCATGTTAAGTATTTTTTCACTCCCAAACCCCCCAGCTTTGGTTACAAAGCATTACTTTATGAGTACTGGGGTAGCAGTTACAGAATTAACTTTTAACAACTAATGAATAAACTACGTGCCTCTGGCCATGATTTTCAAGCTTTTTTGCCAAAATAAGCTTGCCTTGATAAAAGGTGAAAATACACTTGCTGCTGCTGAACTTCGCAGCACAGCGGTCCCTCAGATACTAGCTTGCCAGCTTGTGGCCAGTTAAAGTTTTACATCTGGATTGACGCTGAATCTGTGTGTGTATCAAGACAACGCGCTTTACACAATTCAGAACATTTTCTATTAAATCTCTACATACACAGAATGTGGCTCATAACAGAAATGCAGTTAGAAACTCTTTTGTAGCTACTGAACAAAACCCACCAAGGAGTGCATGAAGCAAAACCATTGCCCATCAGCCCTGTGTAACTGTGACTGCCACAGTCTCAGTAACTGAGAACAAACCCCTGAATTATCTTGGCCCTTTCGTACCTTAATGCATCATTTTTTAAGACAAGGGTATCGTGGATGGAGTGATGCACTTCACTTGTAAGAGAGAAGTAGCAATACGTTTATTGACATAAAACAGCGTTTTAACCAAGTTTGATAGTAAATGCGACAGTGGTTTAACAAGATGTGATGGCAGGGTTCACTTGAGTATTTATTGCATAGAGGACAGGGTCAGACAAAACTGTCAGGGAGACCCTCCCGTTGAGTCAGTAGGTTCAGAAAGGAGCCCCTTGCATTCTGAACTCCTTCTCAGAGGGGAGTCTAGGTGCGGCTGGATCCACTCCTAGTCTCAGACTTGGTCAATGGTTTATGTCTAAAGGATTATGTATATGCAATCAATCCTTTACCTCACCTAGCTAAGATTTCAAAGTTTAGCATGCCATTAATCACTTATTGAGAATCTGTTATGGCAAGGAATCTCTCAGCCTCGAGGAGTAACCTTGGGAGGCATCCCTGCTCAACAGGAGATCCTGCCATGCAGGAGAGCTCAACAGCCCCTGGGCTGTCCGCTATTTATGGAGTAAGATAATTGACTCATATTTACATACTGACTACAGGTATTAGTTTCTTCCAAATTTGGCTTGAGTCGGACATCGACCAGCACTGTGGTTAGGTGGGCACATTGTTCAAATTAGCCCTTGGCTGTTGTGTTGTTGTCTTGTCTTCCCCAAACCCACTCCGAGCCAGACGCGGCCGTCACGACCAGACACATCCACTCCGATCGCCACTGGTGGTTATCGCTTGAGCAGGGTTATGGGAAATACAGGTCTGGTTGGGGGAGGAGGGCAGGGAGCACACCATCACAAAGGGCAACACTATCAAAATAAAAAATGCTTCCAAAATGACTGTTTTTTAATTACTGGCGACAGATTTTAAGACAGCACATTAATGAAAAAGTATTTTTTTTTAAAGCAAGGTTTATTTGAGAGAAAATGAAGAGAAGCAAACACAGTTTAGCCAACACAGATTTCTGATTAAATTTGTGCATTAGCTGCTCTCTAATAAAAAAGTATATTAAGTCAGGGCTTGATGGGTTTTAGAGCACCCCCTAAAGCTCTATGGCTGGTCAGAGCTTCTCGCTTAGACCAAAAATTTGCCTGTGAAATAAGAACTTTAATTCTTTGGAATGTATATTCAAGGTTTTATTTCTAATTCTATCTTCAACAGCCACAAAATGATAAATAAATTCTAAAATCAACAGGTTTCAAGTCTCAAAGGATACTTCAGTTTTGACAAAGCCAGTACCTTACATGAGAAATATTCTGAAAAATTATTATGGACCAACTCTGTGTAACCCCAACTCACTCGCAGCAAACCGCCAAGTGGCTTTTACATCACATGCTGCAAAATTAGTGTTTGACAGAGCCACTAATGAAAAGGAAATGAGCATCACACGAGGCAGCTCCATCAGATTTTACTTAACCTGAGAGAACAGAAACAAACTCATCTCCTTTCTGAACCCTTGCTCTTGGCCAGCATTTGGTCTTTTACTGGCTCCTTTCCTTCCACAGCCCTTTCCCTGCCTTTATACTCCTTTGTCCTCCAGTTTAAGTTTCACACATCCACCCATCCCTGAAGTAATTTGCTCTTACATTTTTGGTTCAAATGAGTTCATAGGCTCGGTCTCTAAACTAAAGGTTTAAGGGCTTTTTTGTGTATTCAACTTCCAAATCACTCAAACAGGCAAAATTGAAAAAATTTCAAGTGCTACGTTTTTTCTTTTTAAAGTGTAAAAGTTCAGTCTCCTCAAGCACATAGCAACTGGTAGGAAGCTGATCTGAGCCCATACTGTAATGGAGAAATAACATGATCACTCCATGTCCATTCATACAAAAATATTTACCTCATTCATATTTCAGAACATCTCTGCAAACATTAAAAGATCCAAGTCTTACACAGATCCTCATTTTCTTTAAAACCCAAGTAACCTCCTTGCCTTGTGACAGACAAGGACTGAAAAAAAGTCACAGGAAAAAATATTTCCCTCTTTGCTGATAGTTTCTTCCCTCTACTCCCATCTCCAGTACCCCTGGCCCTGTTTCCCACCCCTTCAATAGGATCATCTTCTCCACACCAAGGCTCCAGCTAGGGGTGAGCAGAGCACGAGCAGGAGCTCCTCTAGCCTGGGGCACCTAAACCTCAGGGCAGGGTGTCCCCGCCTGTGCAGGTGGGAGCCCCAGCCAACAAATTCTTTGGCACGGAAACTAATTGCAAGAATACAGCCAACTACTTTTCCTCACCTGGACCACGGACTGTTTTCAGCATTACTTTCACAAGCATCGCTCCCTCACCATCCAACAGCCACAGGCAGGACATCCCAGCAGAACGCTCTAGGACCAACGGCCACCCCAAAACACGTGAGGACAAACCCACTGCTCTTATTTACACCGAATTAGGGCTCAGACAATGTAAGATTTCTTTATAAACATAGTTAACTACAAGAGAGGCTGACTGCCGGTTTAAAGATGTCTTTCAATCACAAAATAGTCCGTGCTCTGCATCCAGACTCCTCAATTTGGTTGCTTCCCCATCAGCAACAACTGCCATTTTAGTCAGCGCGTTCCTGATGGCGACTAGGGGTTTAAAAGAAAGTGTCCTTGCTTAAATGCACCACAGTTCATGGGTGATGTGTCTGGAAGACAAAAGGCACAGAGAAGGAGGAAGAAGAAAGAGAGAGGGGAGAAGACGGAGTGGGACCGGGCGGCGGGGCAGGGCCCAGCAGCACCCATGGGTGCTGGGGCACCCTGCGGGCAGAGATGGTGCTGGTAGAGCTGGGCTTGGCCACCCTGGAGCCCCATCCCGCCCGGCAGCCCCAAGGGCAGGGGTACGGCTCTGGGCTCCGGAGGAGCTGTCAGTTCAGCTATAGCAGGAGGCTTTATACATCGCTCAAGGTAAAATATCTAATCGCAAATACCAGATTTATTTCCTCAGGAACTTTTCTAGGTGGCTTTACCAAACCACAGTGCCCCCTGCAGTCCATGACATCTTAAATCAGACTCTGCCTTCAGTCCCCTGCTTTAAGTTTAAAATACTTTTTTTGAAAAGGAAAAAAAATACCATACTAGCTTACCTGTTGGACAGGCTGTCAGTACCCACCTAGAAGAGAGTGTGCCCCGGAGGGCACTGACTATATTGGTACAGCACTCACTACAATTGGATTAATTGGGGTAAGAATGAGACAATATTAAAAATTTCATTCTCATAAATTCAGACCCCACACTCAGATCCAAACCAGAAATTACTTCCTTGATATTTATGACATTGGAATTTTTTTTTCCTTTTTTTTTTCTCTTTTAATTAGCATTCTAGTATAGCACTGTGTAGCTAAATAGTTGCATGCTATTCTCAGTCTAAAAACTGCAAATGATACGGTATCTATCATCAGGAATGTCAATGTTGAAACTATTTAACTTACACAACACAAAATTCTTCTAAAAATTAACAGTTGTGAGGTCTGTCAACAGTGACTGCAGTGGTTAGGTACATCTGAAAACAAGAGATTTCAGGCAAGCTTTGTGGATCCTCTCCAGAGGAGGTTCTCTGCCCTCTTCTCCCCTGCAGAAGATCTCTACAATCACTGCGGCTGGCATCCAACAGCAACTCCATCCAGGGAGGCCACATGGCCTCTGGTAGGTAGAACGTGGCATCATGCATAATCAATGCAACAATTATAACGATTTCTCCTAGAGTTAAAACGCAAGGATTTGTTTTGGTTTTATCATTCTCAGACCACAACTTTGATTTACTAACTTGGCAGAATTATCAGTTCAGTCACTCAGGAGGGATTTAAAGCAAGAGGAGTGAACGGGCTCTGTTCAAATGGAAGCATGGGCTGAGAAGGTATGCAATTTAGCACCAGATAGCAAACCAAGGGCTATGCCCAAGTTGAAATGCTGTTGCCTTTCCGCTTTTTCATACATAATCCTCACTCGCACAACAAGTCACTTCATTTGGTTGTAGGAATGTGCCCTCTGCATTGATATTCAAGTAAACTGTCAAAGATTCCAGGTGAATAGCTTAAGAGCAATCAAGTGTAGCATTTAATGCAAAGCTTTACATGGCAAGACAAGTTTATAGGGGAAAAAAAAAAATCAAGCCAATCTCTCCCAAGATAAAGACTATTTTATATTACTGAAGGTAGGTCACATCCAGTAATGAGAATAATCCAAGAAAAATTTTTGGTACCACACAATCCAGCTGGCTTGTCCCATCTGAGTTAAGCATAATCACGCATGAAAACCAACACTGAAGATTCCTGGGTACTGACAGCTCCCACCAACGCATTCACGCTTTTGGTTACTCAACAAACTGGATACCTGTCGTTTTGGTTAGCAGCATACAGAGAAATTGCTCCAATCCCGGGCACTACAAGCGGCACCGCTTCTGAGGCTTGTTCCAGTGTGGAAAAGAGAGAGGTGGTGAGAGTGCTGCCAGGTACAGTCAGCAAGAGGCAGAAGAGTGCGGATGGAGCCTGTGCCATCAACAGAGCACAACCACCGAGTTTATCTGCAAGATCACAATCTCACTTCCCTTTCAGAAAGTGCCTTGTTTATTCAGTTTTTAATGGTATGGCATAAGGACTCATGTATTTTATAGATAGATACCAAATTGGTATTATCAAAATAAACCATCTGTTTTATAAACCCACTATTTACAAAAAAGGTTTCTGAAGTTTTTTTGTTTTGTTTTTTTTTTTAACAAAAATTAAACTATACACCAATCTAAGTTACAGAAACAAAAATAACCTTTATAAGATCACATGTATAAAACAAGAAATGAAATGTGATTTTATTTAAGGCAATACTGGGCTACTTCACAAATCACCACCTCAAATATATACACTGCTCCACACTACTAATTTTCTATCACATTCACAACGGATTCTTTAATACCAAATATTGTTTTAAATCTCCAATGTAGCAAACTATTTTTATTCACATTTCCATTTTTATTATGGAATCATAAATGCTTTGTATCCAATTAAAAGCAATGAAAAATGTAGCTATAAGAAAACTATTATATTTATGAGTTAACTACATATGAATATCATCCATAGATACTGGATGTTAAAATCTACAAAAATGAGAGTGTGTCAGTACGTTTAACCTATGAAATGTGATCTTATCCAGCTCCTCTCCTGTAAATAAATGCTTTATGCAAAATAAACTGGATATGGCAGACTTAACTAGTTTTAGTTCAAAAGTTCTTAATTTAAAATGATTAAAGGACAGTTTTAAAAACTTGCTCACTTAGTTACAAATTAAAATTCCGAATATAAATGTGTCATTTAATAGTTTAGACTTACAGACTGCTGGTGGCAGCAAATGATTTACAATAATAAATATATACAAAAAAAAAAATGTATCTACAAATAAAGAGTACTGTTATACATGAGCAGTGACCTGGTGAAAGATACCAATCACAGACAACTCACAAAGATTTAGTTCATGGAAAGGACAATCTTGGTAGAAAGTTGAGGTTTTGATCAAGTATTTACAAAACTGAAGCAATTACTCTGTTCTTCAAGTCCCATAGGGATAAAAACAAATAAGACATTTACATGACTCATGTCATGTTTTTTGCTAGATTAAATCACTTCAAAATAAAAGAGCTCCACAGTTACTAGCATGCTTGATGGCTTCCTATTCAAAATAAATTTTATTACAGGTCACGGTTAAACACATTACTTTTTCAGTATTTTGACTCCCCTTCCTCGGTACCCATAACAATTACTTTTGCAGCTGTAACCTCTGGATTATCCTCCCAACGTCCTTCGAGCTTTCTCAAACTGACGATAGGTTTCATTTCCTGAAGTTGCTTCAACACACGCTCAGTGCAGTCTTTAAAAGTCTTGTCTAAAACTATCTTTACGTTATCACCACATGGAAGCCGTGATGGGTTGGCAAACGGTACAAGGGTTTCAGTTTCAGAACATGACCAAATGACATTATTACTTGCTACGGAGGTCTTCTCGTTGGATTTTCTTGAGTTCGAATGGGATCCTTTTTTGGTTCCGCTGCTGTGGTAGTCTCTTTCGGTGTTTTTCTTTTGCTTCACAGCAGACTCTTCAAGGAACTTGAGGAATGACACTTCAAAACCCATCGGCTTAAATGAGCTCCAGTCGAAAGCTGCAGGTTGCTCTTCAGCCGTTTGAATGGCAACAGCAGTCTCTTCCTCCCTGTGCATGCTACTCACGTCAGCAGGCAGTACTTCCTCAGTTTTTTCGGCTCTCCTCCTCTTATTCTGAGATACGTTTTTTTCTTTGTTTGCTCTTTTTAAATTGTTTGATTTTTGCTTTTCTGACGGGCAGGAGCTGGTCTCCTGCAAGTCACTATTTACACTGGAAGAGATTTTTGCTTGATTTTCAGCACTTGAACAATCCTCATTAATCAGTTTAGTAATGAATAGTTCTGTCAGTTCGTCCACTTCATCCTTCTCACCTTTTTCAGTTTCCTTTTGCGGTAATGTAGATGTGCTTGAATCATTATTGCTCACTATCAAACTCAGTTCAGGCTCTTTCACATCACTTTTTTTATCAGTCTCCTCTTGCTCACAAGAGGCTTCTTTTACTTGTGAGACAGAGTGCTTTTTAGATACAATAAGAAGATTTCTGTGTTGGGAAGTAAATGCTTTGGACAGCTTGTGACATTTGTAATGCCTTATTATGTTACTTTCGCTTGTAACTACGGAAGAACATCCCTTTATCATACATGGATACTGAGTTATGAATCTACTTGTACATTCTGATAAGGCATCATTTCTAGCCTTTATTGAAAATACGTGCTTGCCGCGTTTCAGTGAATAAGCCTTATTTTCTTGAACTTGCATTCCTTTTGAGTTTTTGGTTTCCAAGTTCACATTTTTCTTTCGTTTTGTTTTCACCGACAGCCTGTTACCTTCTTTTCCCGATCGGTTTTTTAGTCCTCTCTGTTTGGACTTTAATGGTTTCTCCTGATTTGCTTTGCTTGAAATGTTTTCCTGACCTGGTGTCAATCTCCTAGGTCTTATTAGATGATCTTTATGCTTATCATTATGTTTGTTAAAAATATGCCTCAGCAGGTTAGACCTAGTAGCATAAATACGGTCACAGCCTTCACAGTCACACTTGAATACGCCGTCATCTTCTACTTTGTTTGGTCTTATCTTAATACCGTGATCTGCCTCAAGATGTACAATGTAGTTAAGATATGCTGTAAACGAAGACTTACATTGAGACTGATCGCAAGAAAACCTTCCTGCCTCTGGAGCTGATTTCATGTTTCCAATTTGCTCTGGGGTCATGTCATGAAGCTTCATATAATGTTGTATCAAGCTGGTAACTTCCTGGAAAATGCGAGAGCAGTCACTCACCTCACACCTGAACTCTCTGACAGCAGGTTTGGTTTCCACCTCATCGCGTTCCTCTTTGCCGGGCTCGTTCTCCTCCTCCACTTCAGCAGAGAAGGCAGGGAGATCTGATTTGTGCACAGCTTGGTAATGAAGGATTAGGTTTTGTTGTATCGTAAAAGCTGCGAAGCAACCCTGATGGACACACCGGTATGGTCTATAAGGGCTGTATCTAGTGGGAAACTCCAGAGATTTCGTTACGGGCTTCCTACGTTTTCTCTCCTCTTTTTCCTTCCTGTACCTCCTAACCTTGCGTACTTTGGGTTGTGCCTGCGTACTACCGAAAGAGGCTGCATTATGCTGCTCCGGTGGAACAGAAACCACTTGGGGAGGTTTTTCCAGTCTTTCGGGAATATTATTTTCTGGTAGAAGTTTTTCCAAGACTTTTACAGGCTCTACAACTTCCTTTATCTGAGCTTCTTTGACCAATGGAGCTGCAGTTTTGTTTTCTATTATTAGTGTCTGCAAAGTTTTTATTTCAACAGGTCGCGGGGCTGTGTTTACAGTTTCATTTTGAGATCTTCTGCCATAAGGCCTTTTAATTTTTAATTTTACCATCTCCTCTGTTGTAAAATGATGTACAAGCTGACAGTGTGCTCGGAGATTAGAGTTTCTTGTGAATGTTTTTGGACAGGTAGCTACAACACATTTGAATGGGGCATACTTCAGTTGATGTTTCTTAATTTCTAGTATCATTTCTGCAGTGTACTGATGAACCTTGCCATAGTGTTTAAATAATGCATCTTTTGTCATAGCACTATAATTACAGCCTGGATCCTGACATACAAAAGGCTTATTAACTTTATCACTAAACTGAATGTTACTTGCCTCCGAAGATATCTGGATGAGGGGTTTATTTTCAGTTGATACAACAGGAACTGCTGGTGCTAGCATATCTGCTGGAGGGCACTGGGAAACAGTCTCAGACACCTGAATGGGTGAATCATTTTCTAGTTTCAGTTTTTGCAAGCCCTCCAAAATTTCCAATATTTGAGTATCATCCTTTTGAGATGTCTCAGACTGAGCAAAGCTACTCTTTGCAGCAGTGACATTCCCCACGTGCACGGCAAACTGTGCAGGAGTGGGTAGTTTTACACTATGTGCAGAATTTCCCGAAGAAGCCTGTGCATTATTTACTTGTGAGTTCTGTCCTGAAGCAGCAACAGTATCCTGAATTTCAGTTTTCACCTCAAGTATCTGTGAATTCATAGCAGTTTTAATTATTTCCAGAGTTTTTTCAAAGTTCTGCATAACATTGTCTTCTGAAATCTGTTCCTCCGAATTTGCTTGCACACAGGAATTTACAGCCATCATTTGGGAATCCCCATTTTCAGTTTTTACTGTTAAAGAGGGTAGCATTGTATGAGCCTCGAGATTTGTTTTGAAGTTCTCTTTGATACTGGTCATGAATAACTGATTGTCAACATTATTGAGTTTCTGCGTGAGATTTTCCACCACCGCTTGAGAGCCACAATTTGCCAGCAAGTTGGACTGAAACCTTTCTCCCTGCATTTGCACATTTCCTTCGGTGCTTTTGGTAAGAAGTCCCATTGTTGTTGTATTATTTACTGCTACTTTCTGTGATGTATTGGGCACAAGCAAGGGCGTAGTTGCTTTTCTCTTCCTCTTTGAAGCACTGGTTCCCTTCTTATTCAAGTTGCTTGATCCTGAATTCTGGGGACTACTTATAACTGAAACTCGTGAACTGTTCCCTGCAAAGTTTTGCGTTGCTGCAACAGTATTAGAAAATGAGCTAGGACATAAGCCATTTTCAATAGTCTTTAGCATTAAGTCTTCTGTTGCAAAAACAGGCAAACTCTTGCATTCGTTTATTGGAGGAATTTTGGCATTGAGGGTCCTGTTTTGGTCTGTTAGCAGGGTACTGGGGTTACAGACTGTCTGCAGCAGAGGGGACGTGGTTGAGTTGGGGAGAACAGCTGCATTTATCTGAGTCGTACCAGTGACGCAACTTGTTGTAACTATGTGTGGAAGTACTTCTGTGTTATCAAAGGTACTCGGGATGCCTGCAGTTTCCAAGGCTTGTTTTATAATTTGATTTCCTTCCTCATTCCCACTGGTATTAAAGTTAGTCACACTGGCCCGTGGAAACATAGTCTGCAGTAAGGCTGTGGAACGATTTTCAGCTGCAAGTAACTGGAGGAACGATGGATCTTTAAAACATGTCTCTGGA